TTTGTATTCATGAACTGCTCCGTTGCTTCGTCTTCAATGGCCCACAGTGTTACCAGCACTGAACGTGCACCAGATGCCAAGAACGCGCGAGCGATTCCAATGACTCCCTCGACTTTGATTTCTCCACGTCCACTGTGGCAACAGCTGAGTACCACCAGTTTAGCTCGCAGTTTAACTTGTGAGATATCAGCGATCCTCAAGAGGTAGTCTTCTTCTTCTGGAATATTGCTCGAGAAGGGTCCAGGGGAAAGGGCAATCTCTCCTCTGTCGGCATTACCATGGGCAGCAATATGAATCAGACTCACTGAACTAATTTCTTGAAGTACCGCCTCTCTTGTCGCACGCTCTCCTAACAATGGCTGAACACCCAGCAGTTGTCCGATCATCTCTGCTTCCTTCCTCGCACCGGTCAGTGATGCGAAGTTATGGATTTTTCCCCTGTAACGCGCCCTGCCCACCTTCGGACTGCCCACAACCAGTGCGCCAGTATGATTGTGGTAGTCCGCTGGGCAGTTCTGAATAAGCCTCAGAGTCGTCAAAGAAGGGACGATGCGGAGCCTGTAGGTCTCTGCTAGAGATTTTCCGCCTGGTTGGTCGCGTAAGGCTACAAATGGGACTCGGTACAAGTTACGTTCGGGAACAATAATGATTTCCGGCTCGGTGAGTAATTCGGCCACTGGAGCGATGATCAGTTTGAAACATTCAGAAAGCATCCTCTCAGTGTCTTTGACTTTCTCGCCTCTCAAATCTGCTTCACTTTCATCTTGGGTTAATATCGGCATGGTTTCGTTGAAAGACCGATCCTCGCACTTCTGTTTGGGTAAAACGCCAAAGCCGCGGATACTTTTGTTGAAATAAGTATTCAGATCATAAGCATCCTCAGCCATGAGAGTTTTGTCATCGACTTCTTCGGATTGTCGGAACAAAGTGTCACCATTTGCTTTCAGAACCCAAAGAAAAACCCACCGTTCATGATACGAAATGTACAAGAATGCAGAGTCACGTTCTTTGTTCACAATCTCTTCCATCCCATACCATGATTGTGGATCAACTGAGATATGATTTTCAACGGAAAAGTTTCGTGCCACCAAGTCTGCTAAGCATCTAGCCCGTGTAAGCTCCTCGACATAGAGCGAATCTCGAAAATTACCAGCAGAACATAGCAGTTTACGGAGCACCTTGTAGGGTGCATCACGGTGCTCTAAAATGTCTAGTTGAAATTGTTCGTTTCCTTGCTGAGAATTTCGCCATGTTTCATGTTTAGCCATGTACTGATAAAGATATGGATATGCTTCCTTGGACCTTGATTGAAAAAGCCGCAAGACTGACATAAGGCTGAGGGTGCATAACTCAAAATATATGCTTCTCATATCAGAGTTTATCCCGCGGACTTTCTCAAGGTATTCGTCGGCTCTTTCACGTTCGCCAATTTTTAAGGACACAAATCCTAGGTTTAGGTAGCTCCGTGCTAATTCCTTTCTATTGCAAATCTCACCGCTGATGGCAAGCTGTTTCCTGTAACATTCTATGGCCTTCTGATAGTCTTTGCGCCACGAGAAAAAATCACCAAGGAGATCAAAAGCATCTGCTTGACGTTCCCGGTCACCAATTTCTGTGGCAATAGAAAGTGCTCTCTCGCCATACAGATACTTTTCGCGCGCGGAAGAAACCCATCCTAGTTTCACGTACAATAATGCTAGTACCGATCTGTTACCAACTTCTATTGTAATGGCAAGTGCTTTCTCGTGATATTCTTTAGCCTTCTGATATTCACCGTGTGATTGTAACACATTTCCTAGGTTTGTGTACATTGCTACTTCTCCTCCCTTGTCATAAATTTGCATTGTGATAGCAAGTGATTTCTCGTAATATTCTTTAGCCTTCTGATCTTCATGGAGTGATCGTAACACACTTCCTAGATTTGCGTAGGTTGTTGCTTCTCCTTTCTTGTCTCCAATTTGCATTTGGATGGCTAGTGCTTTCTCGTAATATTCTTTAGCCTTCTGATATTCATCGAGTGATGCTAACACAATTCCTAGCTTTCTGTAGTTTGTTGCTTCCCCTCCCTTGTCACCAATTTGCATTTGGATGGCAAGTGATTTCTCGTGATATTCTTTAGCCTTCTGATATTCACCCAGTGATGCTAACACATCTCCTAGGTTTCCGTAGGTTGTTGCTTCTCTTCCCTTGTCACCAATTTCCATGTGGAGGGCAAGTGATTTCTCGTGATATTCTTTAGCCTTCTGATATTCACCGAGTGATGCTAACATATCTCCCAGGTTTCTGTAGTTTGCTGCTTCTCCTCCCTTGTCACCAATTTGTATGTGGATGGCAAGTGATTTCTCGTGATATTCTTTGGCCTTCTGATATTCACCGAGTGATTGTAACACAGTT